CGCCCCGACGCTCAGGAAATGGTCCCGCCGCCACGGGAGGGAGCGGCCCGGCCGCGCTGTCACAGGAAACGCGGGGCCCGCCCGCCAAACTGTCCCCAACTGCGCCTGCGACCCTCCGGGGAGGAGACGGCTGTCCGGAGCCGCCCGGGCCGCCGCTGAGAGGGAAACAGGACAGCCGGGACTCGGGAGCGTCTGCCGGGTCAGCACCGAGAACGCGGATTCGCTGGTTTAAATGGCTCCTGCGCTCCACGTGCGCACCTCGGAGTCGCCAGCACGCTCGCCAAGTTGAAAGGAACCGGACCCGCAGCTTACCTAGGGACCGAGCCGTCCCACACTTGTGGATCACTCGGTCTGACTTAGAGCCTTTGAAACGAAGCTATGAGAAGACACCCTCTTTTCCAGTTAAATACTTAGCGCTTGTTAATTAGGCCCAAGCTGCCAGGCTTCAAGTCAGTGTGAGGGGAATAAAACCAACAGCTGCAAATTAATAAAGGAACGCACTGCTGCGGATTAATTCTGCAAGCTTAGACTTCCCGAGCGCAGAAAAGGAAGGTTAATATGCTGAGTTACTCATTCAGCGATGCTCCAAAATTAGTGCCTAAATTATTAATAAAGTGAAAGACAAACGTATTTTTTAATGTTACAGATAAATTTCACAGGTCAGTTTAATTCACTCGGCGGTTCTGGGCGTCTGCCCTGCTGTGGGGAAGTACCGGTGTTAGAAATGAACAGCTGGACAGGAATCTCTCGAGGACATTATGCAGTCATAGGAAAGACAACAAAAACAAATACGCATATATGTAAAGTTAAACAATTAACAAGCAAGGACAGAACTGCAGGGCTGTTGGTGTGACAGGTAGAAACGCCCGGTTATATTTAAAGAGATCTAACGAGTGAAGACCAGGCTTTCAAGGTGGCTCAGCTGGTAAAGGTGGTTGTGCCAGACCGGACACCTGGGTACAAATGGTGGGACCAACATGGAGGACAGGGAACCCACACACTCAGGCAGGTTCTATTCTGACCTCCACCCCGCGCATAAACATCACACACACACACACACACACACACACACACACACACACACACACACACACACACACGAAGACTTAAGCCATTCTAAGAATGAAGATGGAACCTTCTTCCTCACAATGGTAGCTGTTCTTGGGAATTAACTTGTTGCCTTTCGCTGTCCTAAGGAAAGCACTATGATACAAGTGGATTCATGTAATCACACAGAGCTGAGAATACTGTTGAAGGAGGAACAGTAACCAGTTATTGTCCACTGGTAACACTGTGTGTCCGATGCTTAGCATAGTAATTAGGAACAGTGTTTCGGAGGAGAAAGCTAATCTGAAAGTTCCTGCTCCATCTGTGTCCACTTGACAGAGAGTATGGAAATCCAAGTAAACCAACCAACACTTGTCTGAATGTCTGCATTCCAGTTTTTAAAAAGAAAGACAAATACATTTGAAAAGTTGTCTGTGGTGATATTTGTAATCTAAGAAATAAAGCTTGCCTGAAGATCAGAGGACAGAGCCAGACACAGAGTTAAACATAGAGGCCAGGCAGTGGTGGCACACACCTTTAATCCTAGCACTCGGGAGGCAGAGATCTGGATCTCTGTGAGTTCAAGGCCACCCTAGACTACATGAGATTGATTCAGTCTAAAAGAAACAGCCAGGCAATAGTGACACACATCCTTAATCCCAGCACTTGAGATCTCATGCCTTTGCTACCAGTATTTGGGAAGCACACACGCCATTAATCCCAGCTCTAGGAAGACAGTGAGTGATAAAGCTGGGCAGAGAAAGGCATATAAGGCGGGAGGAGACAGGAGCTCGGAGCCTTTCAGCTGAGGACTCGGGCATTCAGTCTGAGGATTCGTGGAGGAGCTGGCGAGGTGAGAAGTGGCTGTGGCTTGTTTCCTCTGATCTTTCAGCATTTACCCCGATATCTGGCTCTGGGTTTTTATTAAGACCATTTAGGATTTGTGCAACAGTTGTCATATTCCAGAGAGGACTCAGACATTTTAAAACATAGTTTACCAGTAGAAGAGGGGACCCTACAGACCATGGGTTGTAAGAGGGGCCCCTATAGAACATAGGTTATAAGCTTTTGAGTGTTTGGAGTAGTGGGATAAGGCCCCATACAGGAAACAACCATAGCATTTTCTGTGATTTTTTTGATTGACACCAAAGTATTTTCTACATGTTGTTTTGCATTGCATCTGTTGGAAAACATTGGTGAAAAGGGCCATCCCAAAATGCAAATGATCTCCATGAAAGAGGGCACCTATGAAGGGCGCTCCTTCACCTTCAGACTTCCTTGGCAAAAGCCCAATCGTTAGCCTTCCCTGGGAAAGTAGAGAGTTCAGAGAGAAGGGGGACTGAGACCTGGAGAGGCACGGACCTGGAGAATACTAGTGTTGCTAACGCTATTATCTTAATCATTATTTCTGCAAGAAATTCTGGGGCAGTGAACGGCAGAGGAGTCAGGAGTAAGCGACTCTAGAGTTCAGCAAAGGAAGGAGCCAGCCATGAATCTGGGAAGTCTGCCTAACAAGAAAAATGGCAGCTTTGAGAGCCTAAAAAAGAAAGCTCTCGGGTAGCCATCTTCCCAAACGGGTCCATCAGTCCCGTTCTTTAATCTGCTCATGCACTAAAGAATGCAAGTCACACAACCAAGAGTAGAAGAAGGTTTGCAGTCTAATCCTGCCACATCAGGACCGGGTCAGAGTGCGGAGGCTGTTAGCAGAGCAGTTAATTCGTGATTATTCACACAAACAAACGCAGACAGAAATGAAACTCAAAAAGCAGAGATGGTGCTGACACTGTGCTAACAGGAAACTTCCTGTTTACTTTCAAATGTTTCATGCAAATTTGTTTGTATCCTTTAAACGTATTTCAGTGAACTGACTTCATAAATGAAGTATTTCCTAGAATATGCTCAATATTTAGTGAAACTAAAATCATGGGATTAAAATTTGTTTTAATCTCCCTAAAATAAATCCTGTACATTCAGATGTCAGAGATAACTGTTTGCCTAGGAGAATTTCTTTAATACTTAATGTTTTGTAATTAATAGAACATCTTTTAAGCCTCTGTGCTCCCGTAAGTTTTCAGGATGTAGTAAGAAGGCAGAGCCCAAGTCTGTCAGCTAGTACTTGTGCTCAGAGCAAAACCCCTCCGGGGAGAGCCTTCCAAATGTTTCCGCTCACGGTCTCTGTTGCATTTGATGAGTGGTAGCTTCCAGAGATTTCAAAACTATAAAAAGAACAGCATACATCTTTATGTGCAGTCATTATTCTAGTCAGAACAAACCACTCTTCCCAATTCTCTGTAAAGAAGAAGAAGGGAGAGAGAGAGAGAGAGAGAGAGAGAGAGAGAGAGAGAGAGAAAAGAAAGAAAGAAAATGTCTATAATCTGGAAACGTTCAGTCAAAGTAGATTCTAACAAAGCCTATCAGGGCATTTTCACCCTTTCTTATGTTATCAAACATTAAATTAAAGGATTGTTGTAGGAGTTCAGGAGAATCACTGTATGGGGTAGATAGTAGAATGAGAAGCTGTTTTTCAGAAGTACTTTGACCTTGGAGAGTCCTTGTGGAAAACAGAGATGGTTTTCCTAAAGGGGCTTTTCAGCCATCCCATGACTTTGGTCACAAGACGCCTCCAGCACACCAGAGGATCTTGTATGATTGTGTATTGCAAACGATACATAATGAAGGACTAGAGTCATGGGGACATATGATGCTCTCCTTCAGTAGTAAGACATATAAATTGAGATTAGGGACCTTGGTATGAGGAAATACTTTATGTAACTTTCAATAATACGCCTTTGTTTGGCTGTTCAGGGCTTCAGGCCACCAGAGAGGCTGGACCTTCCTGCTGCCACATAGGCCTTAAAATTTCATCTTTTAGTGCCTTCTTTCTTCAACTGGCCCACGCTCCACGGTGCACTCTGACAGAGAATGAACTGAATCGGTTCTGTGTTAAGGTTTAGTGTTTAGAAAAGTATTTCTTAAGCTAGGTATGGTGACTCATACCTAACTCAGCACTCAGGAGGCTGAGGCAGGAGAATTGCTATAAGTTTAAGGCCAGCCTC